CGTTACGGAAAGGTTTGCACAGCGAGGGCGATGCCGAATTAACTATAACTCTCCTATTTACTCTCATCCACGATTTTTAGGTGATAAATATTTGCAAGTGCTTCGCCTCTTCGGTATATTTGCACTCCAGATGGTCCTTTACTGCCTCACCAGTTTGTTTACGTTTGTCGCATTTTAGCTCGTAAGCCAAAAGCCACAGGCTCCCGGGTTGCATACACGGTACTAGGATCAACAGCATATTACCCATAAGGTACAGCGAAATATCCCAAAGCTATAAATATTCACAGACCAACGGCTCGCTGCCAACAAACGTGAAGCTGTTGCGCATGTACTGGTCTTTGTACGTGGCATGCGGGCATTGTCAATAATTTTGGCACCATTTACAAGCACCAGACGAATAGTTTGATTTACTTTGACATGGGTCATTTTGAGTGTTCGGATGCGACCAGTGTATAATGTTGTATCCTTAGGCGTACGAAACCTTTGGGTTGGGTAGGATCTGTGATAGTGTGTGCGCACGTTTTACGAACTGCTTTTAGTCCGCGCCACTCTATTGATTGGATTGATCAGGGCCTAGCCTCCACGGGTAGAAGCAATTACTTGCTATTTATAGACCAATTGGCAAAACTCTGCTTCACATTCGATGATTTTTTTCTTCAGAAAATCGGTGGTGAAAGTGAGGCTGATGAAGATGTCACTTTGGAGCAAAGAAAAGCCACCGGAAATTTCCCTGCCACTTGATGAAAAGGTGATAATGGTGGCGGGGTTTGCTTGGTATATGTCAGTTCAGTCCGCTCTATTTCTATGGTGCTCGAAAGCTTATGTTCCTCCCATGACAAGTTTACCTAGAAAGGGGAAAGTCTCGTAAATTGAATAAGCCTAATATTTAAAAAATCGTTAAGCAAAAAGTTAGGTGAGATCGAACCACCCGACGATTGAGTGATTGATTGAAAGATCACAATCCGTATCCTGTATAAACGCAGTCTATCACATTCTGAACAAGTAATAGTTGCTGAATAGCTAATTATTAACCTACTGAATGGAATTTTCCACACTTGAATTAACTCATGAGGTTCGATAGATTGCCACTGTTGTTAACTTCCAACAAGTTGTAAACAACTAAATACTCACATTCGCACATAAATTTGGTCTTGAAGAAAGACGAATTCAGCTGTACTTTTATTTAAGACGGTCTTCTTCAACTGAATATACTGCACAAAAATTGCCCCATGTTTTAGTTGGCACGATACTCGACAAGTTACAGCATATTTTCTTAACGGAGTACATTACTTATGTGTCGAATTCAGCTGTACTTTTATTTAAAACGGTCTTCTTCAACTGAATAGACTGCACAAAAATTGCCCCACGTTTTAGTTGGCACGATACTCGAAAAGTTACAGCAAATTTTCTTAACGGAGTACATTACTTATGTGGTTCCTAACGGCTCTTTGACAGCCTACGCTTGACACCTATCTGATGACTTTCAAGAAGGACAAAACCGGAAGTGGGCTACCAGTGGATAGCGTGTTCTGTCATAGCTGAAGAGCATTTTATCGCTTTAACCTGTGTTACACATTTCCACACTGAGCCTGTCTATTGCAACTTTCTCTTTGGAGCGACTACATCCAGTCACTCCCGCTAGTCTCTTTTGTGACCGTTCAGAACGTAGCGGCCAAATACCAGGTTGCAGTACAGAAAGGAAGTTTCAGACGGAAGTTCTCCTACGTCTCCTATGCATAAATCACACACAGAGTATCCCGACACTATACTGTGCAGAAATACTTCTTCAGCTAGGGAGCTGTCAAGAGTGTCGTTGCCGCGAGATGTTTCGTTTCCTCTATGCGAAGGATATAGCGGAATGGGAGATACCGGAGAATATGTTGTGATCCAATTGGCCTGTTTTGAAATTTGGCCCTCAACAGTAAACACCATGAAAATAATGTCAATTTAGATCCTTCAGAATCTCTCGTTTGCGACTATTCACTGATCGGTGTTCTGTCTTGATAACTGTTTTGTGTGAAGTAGGCTATCGGTGACGTGGACACAAAACGGAACTGAAAGATGTTTCCTTATCCTCAAGAGCTATGTGGATTCATCATCTGGCTCACCATATTTCGTCGAGGTAGCTTCAGTAATTCTGCATTATTTTTGATATATTTTAATTTTACAGCTGTTTACATTGGTGGCCTTCAACAGAGTAACTATTGTCCAGTGGAGGGGCATTCAAGTCTGAAAGGTGAATGGGATCTGAGACCTGGGTTCTTTTAACGAAATTGCGAATGGTTTCATCACAACTCGTGTAATTGTTGCCTGGACATGTCATCATAGAATGCCAGAGTCGAAGACAGGGATTCTATGCCGTTGGATTACTGGTTAAATCACGAGAAAGTGTGCAGGTTGTTTATTACATTTTCCCCCTAAATTGATTAACCGGTCTAACTTTCCCCTAAAAAGGAGTAGTTTTCTTTAATCACAAGATTCTGTTTCAAAAAGAGGGCAGTAGAGGACAAAGGTTGGATCGTCCCGGTTTACAACAACCCATCTCTAGGGAGCCACCTTAGAATGTCATATCTGTAGGTTCTGAAGTCAGCTTACAACCCCGCTCCCGAAATAGGAGTAGGAGCAGTCGATTTTCAAGTGAAATACAACAATCAGTCTGGTTCATCTGTCTGGCGGATCAGGTAATCCCGACTAATCGATGATGGTCAGTTGCCTGCTATCTACGGTGGCTTTTGGTGCAGAAATTCTTGCGTTGGTTTACGGTTGTCAAATTGTGCACCAGCACCTGCGTACATTGCCAACAGCAAGTAGATAGGCACACAACTGCAAGAGAACCGTACAGAAGTGCGGTTTAATTGAACAGAACACAACTACAGAACACAAGACAGCACTTGCACTCAGCTAACAAGTTGGGCTGAGTTTAGAAAAACTATTGTCAAGATTTCCGACAGGATCCGTATTTTTCGTTCAGAATGATCCAATCCATTGACCCGATCAGCTGTCGCGCAACTCTGGCCAACATTACTTCACTAGCGCAATGCTTCCAGGCTGATGGTCCTCAAGCTGTAGTAGTACTTTCTGTCACAGGTACCATAGTCTAAACTGTTTGTTGGCCACCTAAATGGCACTGACGTCCAAGTTGCCTGCAAATATTATTGGGCGAACTAATCTCGAAGACAAGTCTACTAAGCTATATCTGGTGACGGACAACCATCAAAAACATGACTTTTCGAATTTGGATACCATTCTGAAAACGCCGTTCTTCCGCGCTGCAAAACCGAGAATCACCATGCATATGATAGTCCCCTTTTTTGTTATGAATCACCGGCGTGCATAGATTTCGAATCTTTAGAGCTATTCAATCTCATAACCTTTCAGCCGGCTGTAAATTACACAGTTCGGTCGTGGATGACCGATCATCAGTGTGAAGAAATCACATCCAGATAAGATATGGCGCCACTCATCATGGAAACACGCACTTCACGTCAAATAAGCTAATGTTCGCTGGCTCCCCCATCGGCAAATGTATGGGTGGGAGGATCGTGCGATGTGTGAAGTTGCTTTATTTCCTAACTAGATCATTTATATTTTTTGAGCTTGGAGGTATTTTGAATTCTTACACATGGATCGCCTGATCTAAACTGGATGAGTTGTGCCATATCTTGTCCGGATTCCAGTGTGCCTCTCAGTGCCAAATAGCTCGAATTCATACCGGAAGGGTGCTGGCCCGAATTTTCCATATGCCTCTCGAAATAGATAAGTTCGAATATTCTTGACCGGGAACGATCAGGTTATATCGCTTCTTAGGTTCATTTTTGCAACCCTCATTTAAATTCTGAACAACACTGCCTGCTAAATGCAGTATCACTAACGTAGAATTATGGGAGGCTAAAAAGTCTGTTGTTGGGGAATTTGGTATTGATGAGAAACTCCTGACAAGACGAAAGCCTGGACAGGGAAAGGTTTTTTCTACAAAAATTCCATTCAAGCGGTGTTTCAGGAATTGTCAAAATGCAATTCACCTGACAGGACAGCCTATGGTATTCTTATCCCTTCTTCAGGTTCATCCTACAGCTCTTTAAAATCAGCTTGAGGTATCTCTGTACAGTGCTAACATCAGATCCGGAATGAGAACACAGAATTATCCACCTCAAAAATGTCTACCCATAATGAACCACATTGGTGAGTTCAAGCCTCCACGCTGTTTGCTGTATGACTGGACAAAACGGTGACCAAGAGACTTACTAGTTCATGAAACACCTCGCTAGTGATCACATCTTTCATAGTATTCTTAGGGTTCTGCCTTGGCTGATATTAATACGTAAGTCCCATTATTTAACATTTAAACCATTCTTCTGAAGAGCCTGTTATACGCTTGAATCTACCAGTTTGACGAGAAAATATAAGTCCCACTGATCACACTTTAATCAACCATCACATGACCGTCTGATGTCCACCCTTTCAAGGTCTTGCAGACTTACCATAGATTACGTGAGTGCGTGTACTGGCTTAGCTTCTTTTTTAATTTCCGCCCGCTAATTCAGGCCCTTGTGACCGGTAATCAAGAGATGATGGGCTTCTGTTATTCATACGAATAATTCCGTTGACAAGTAAGTTGGAGGTTCACAGTGGTGAGCTTATGAACCTATAGTGCACGGTTACGAGTGGGCAGCTAGTCATAATGCTTTTGTAAAGTCTAATTCTAAGATGGATTTGACTGTAAAATATTTTTCCAATTAGCGACACCGAATGATGCAGAATAGTCAATGTGACAGCGCGTAACGTCCCTTACATACATAGATGTGCCTACTCAGTAATCAGGGGACATGCTTAACGCATCTTTCTAAGGCATCTCTCAAAAAAACAAACTTCCAGTGACAAGTAAGATGCGGAGGGATACGAAATTCCTTGTCTTTCCAGCAAAGTTACTGGAACTGTGGAAAGATTAAGGTACACACCCGTTCAAATCACTATACATTCAACGGAGAGTAAAACAACGCAGTTTCCAGAATATTTGGTTTAATTCTTTTGAGGATGCACAATAATCAAACTTACTTCAGTTGCCGTTGTTGACTTACATATTGCAAGGAAAAATTACTGAGTAAATATAACTGAAAGTACAGCATACTTGACATTGCACTCACCCAGATATATGAGGTTAACTTTGCTAAATAACGAAGAGCTAAACAAGTCGCGATAAGACTGAAATGTTAGTTATTACTTCATTGTTTTGTCCGCAAAAAGACAAAAGTTCCATACAGGATTAAGCTATCCAGGAAGAGTTCGTTTAAAACAGCACACTAGTTAAAATATTAGTAGCGACGGAAAGGTGAGGCCGGAACAGTTTTTGAAGAACAAAGGAAACCTCCTTGAAGTAGACAGCATTTTTAAGGATTTATTTGGCTTCCGTTTGTCGGGAGATGATAGGACCGAAAAACATCCGATAGGGGCTTTGAGGATCTTCGCCAAGGAAGTAATCATTCCAAGCCGTGAGGAACTCATCACTGCTGATCTTTCCATCTTTGTTTGTGTCCAAGATCTGCAGAAAAAACAAACGAAGGTAATGAAATGGCTTTTCTATGTTGCAGTGGGTGTGAGAACATACAAAACGTATTCTGGGTAGATGTCAGGTTGGCTGTAGATTTTGTGAAGCACGCGAGTTTGCTTTTTGGCATTCTAGTGAGCTGTTTTATTCAAGAAAACGGCTATCGGTTGTTTCCTAACTGAAATAATCCTCCAGGTCCTTGACATTATGAGTGTACGCATTGCCCATTTTGGTCCCTAGCTATGTACCAGATTTCTTCACACCAGCTTCTATTACTAGCAACACTTATGCGTTCTCCTGGAAAACGAAAATAGCTCGTTTTGTTTATTTATTATGTGCACTTTGCAAGCACATCTTGCATAACCCTGTATAAAGCCAACTTTGCACTGGTTTTATCGTATTAGGCGTCACCTGCTCCGAGATGCTGACATTTACTAGTGGCGCTACAGTGCCTTCTTTGTTGAAAACAAAAACAGTATTCAGCCAATTTAGAGGGAAGACCAAAAACTCGTAATTCAAAGTGATCTACCAGAGTACTTAACCAGAAAATGACCATAGATCAAAGTTCGCTAGAAAACTAAAGCGTTCCCAGAATGAGTCATCACTCTCGAGAGAACATGAATAACAAAAATAGAATTGAACAGTGCTGGTCCTGTGTAATCAGCACTTTGAATGGAATGCAAAACTATACGAAATAACAAAGAAGGAAAAGTCTGAAGTCAGGCACAAACCACGGGGCTCTCACGTACCAGACGGGTGTCATAGCTGCTTAACCCTTTGTTACCACACAGGTGTTGTTGGATTTTACATACAAATCGCCGCGCACTTGGATAGTGCACCGAAATCCGAAAACTGTCACCAATATCCGTGAATCACTCACGTGTTCTCTGCGATAAGCAGGCCGGTAATTTCGTCAAATATATCCAAGTGTTGGGCTTTTCTTTCAGTTTGTGTGTACTTGGGGCTGTCACTCAGCATATCAAATTTATGCGAAATATGGGTGGCTCGGATGGAGCCAGCAGCCACTAGTCTGTTTGCCGAAATTTAAAATTTTTGCGGACCTTCTTTTCACTTTTCGGAGCGACATCGCTCGATCAGTCAATCGATCAGCTATAAAACTCCTTCGGCACATACCTGCCACGCCATCCGAAGGAAGCATTCAGTCTGGCTGTTCAAGCACAAACAGGAGCAGTCAAGACAGTGAGGTTAGATTTGAACCAAAGACTCCCCGCTCGGTGCGTTTGCGCCTTAACCACTGAAGTAGCTCAAGCTCAAGTGACGTTGTCGGCGCACACGAAATCCATTTCTAGCTTTTATCAGTATGACTGGCAGATTCACAGCAGTGAGTAATAAAGGGCCGAAAGGTTCAACACCTATGACTTTTGGAGGACAAATGTGGTAATCTCCATCACTGACACGCTGTTCCCCAAAGTGTTAGCATGGCAAACCGTACTTAAACTGTACTCTTAGGGTTGAATCACAGGACTTGAACGTGAAAGAATTAAGCCTTAAATCGTCATCGTGAATCTACTTATTAGGAAAGTACTCATTGATGGCAAGTTTCTGCATTAGCAAGCCACTGTTTGGGATTGGATGAAACAGAGAGCATCTTGAAGAAAAGTAGCTTTAAAAGGATGACAAAACTGATTCGAACATTCCCGACGATTGTAGATTCCGAAGCCATAACATACGCAAAAAATACAAGAGATGTAATCTTTGTATACTGTGCTCCTCGGTAGTTCAGGGGTACTTCAACCATCAAAATTAATGTTCAAAACTAACTAACTAGATCAGTATTCGAAATCACACACTCGAACTTGAATAGAAAGAAGAATCACTCGAGCAAGACGATGTTAAGTCGCAAACACAAACTAAGCGGCTACAAACTCAGGCACAAAAGTGAAAGCCTCATTTGTAAGGAGGTTTCACAAGCTTGGAATACTTATGCCTTTGCTGGGTTTCCAAGGATTTTGTTTGAATATTTAACATTCATGGAGAAATACTGTGGACTTCTAATCAACTTATTATGAGAAGCTACTTTGACCACATGCTGTTCACATGCTTCATCAGTAGCATCCGTCGTTAAATAAGTATTTTGAGATGACAGGATGTGAAGATTGTCCACAAAAGCGAAACTAGTTCGATGTGGATTCCTACAACAACAAAATAATACTCGAATATAATGATAGATATCTGATCGCTTCATTTATTCGCCTTGAAAATCCACCAGTTTTGTAACTTATTCACCATTTCTGACGAGCTTCAGGTGTAGTGGATTTTCGGACCACAGCCCAGGCGACTGGTTTCCGACATTCCACTAAATAATGGGGACGTTTCGCCGTGGAAAGTGGGTGTCAAAACTGTCTACTTACCTGTCTATCTACTTGCCCGACTATAAAGTAATGTAAGGAAACAACTGATCCCTATCAGTCCTTGCAATTAAAGCAGCTACACAATCAAAAAATGCTGCGCATCTGTCCCAGCATCTGAGCGTTTCAACAAAAAACAAGCACCTACTCCCGAAAATATACTCTGTTGTGATGGTACAAAGGAAAACATCCTAAGACAAGTGTTTATTTTTCTAGAGTTTGAAACTGTTGACCGCTTATTTTTCTGTGCGCTTAGAAAAGTGAGGAGGCTAGACGAGAGATATGTGGCCAAGGGGAGATATCCACAACCAAATATGTAGCAGACGGTTTACAGGGCCAATGTACAAGCGAGCGGATTTCCGCTTATTTCCGTTAGAACTTGAACATGACTTAGATCACTTTCACGAAGCCCCTCTTTCCAGCAGGGTTGCTGCATGAAATAGCTCGTCGTCTATTCAGGCCCATATGGCTTCCACCATTACGTACCGATCTAAACACTTTGCAATCATTTGTCGTAGTCTGAAGCCGCTAGTCCAACTATCGACGACCAATTCGTCTTCCTTTTGCACCTCTGACGATGGCATATAATTTCCTAGGGGCGATTCAAACCCAGGAGATACGGTTACGTTAAACTTTCGGGGGAGCATCCTTCTTACGTTACTGGAGAAAAAACTGTTCTGATAAATGAATCGACACTTGATCAGAAGAAAAGTAACTTCTCCAGCCGAAGCGATGTATTAGCAAAGTGGGAGCTCAACACTAACTTTATCAATCGGATCAAATCTGTCTACGTGAATACGATGAACTTGCGCTTGTAGTCCTGTTAAGAACAAACAGATCAGTTCCATTGTGGTTCCCCTGTGGAAGAGTTGCTGTTAAATTCGTCAAAATACGTCCAGATCAATGTGATTACCACAGAGGGCTGGCGTCCTACCGCCGTCCAAAAATTCGGAGTTCTCTGTGGCACTGGATGCATTCGAAGGTCACTTGTGTCAAGGAACAAACACCGTTGGTATGCTATGATAATGCCCATGCGTCTTGGTATGACAAGATAATCTAAACAAGTGTTCCATGACGTTCACCCAAAATATTTTTGGGTAGCATTTTTTCTTGAGTTACAATACGTCAACGTTAAAAGTCAGAAAAGGTAGCGTCAAAACTTAGTGTACTGGCTCATGTGTGGCGTGAAACTGGGTTACACTTTGTGTAGATCCAGAGGAGCAATATCAAACGGTGAGCGGAAAATAGCACTACTAGTGCCATAATCACACCAACCGATCGTCCAGGATGATCCGTATACCGGATAGTGAGGAAGCAAAACACGGGCACTCACAAAACCAGTCATCTCCAATTCTAAAGAGACAGTCACTACTAGTTTTATTTGTGGAGTGCATAACTCCCACATGAAAAGTCGACAAACGTTTTGAAAAAATCCTTTTATAGTACTTTTTCGTGTAGTGACAAGACAAATGCGGTCATTCTCTTTCACTAGTGAGTGTGTTTGAGGAGCACTAGAGAAGAATGACCGAATAAATCAGCAGCATTTTGATGTCATGATACAATCGGTTGCCCACACTTTTTTATAGGTTAGTTTGTCAAACGATCTAGTCAGTTCTTGGTATGAAGGAATCTTGAAGTTTTGACCGGGGTCGCATTGTGGCGAATGAAGTCAACAGAAGTCCAGAAGCACTGTAAATCTGCTTCGTCTTCGCAAAAAATCGTCTGCAGTACGCATTTCGACGAAGCTGGTTAGTAGCCGAAGACCACACCGTTCTGCCGCGAGCGGTGGTGCAATAGTGGGGCTAACTAGCACAGACAGAATATGGGCACACCCATCTTTCAGTCATATGACAGTTGGCTGCCCCAGCGACAAATTCACAAATGAAAGGCTTATTCCACTTGTAAGATTTTCCTCTCCAAGCAGGCTACCTGCCCACTTCACTTACAGAATGAAATCCTTATTGCTTCAGTTTTATCGGAGGCGATTCTTGCCGTAACAGGCCGGTATCCCAGTGCGCCTCCAGAGTACAAAACCATACTTCATAACGTTCATCTCCGGACATACCCCTTACAATTCAAGGAGAAGCATTAGAGTTTGAGGAGAAGTTTACACAACCCAGTAGTTGTACTGGGTCTTACTGAAGTGTGTTTGATGAAGCCAATGCATGAATCTCAAAGACTAGAATCACATTTTTTAGTTTACATCACTTGTGGTGTCAAAAGGGCATAACAGCGTGTCTCAAGGCTCGGGAGGCTACAGTAAAGGCTATTTTGTCCTACGGTTGTGAAACATAGTCTCTGCGGACGGATGATGTAACGCCCTTTCAGGTTTTTCACTGCCGATGCCTCAGAATCGTTGCTGGTTTTGGATGGCGTCAACGAATTCTTAACGATGTTACTAGAAGATGGATATTTGTTTGTGCAGTGGGTACTTTAATCATGGAAAACATTCAGCACCATCGAATATGATAGCTGTCATTTGCTACGAATGCAGAAAGAGCATCTATCGAGATGTGTTGTTTTTCGCGCTTCCTCGCGAATGACCCAAACCGTACAGCGGACAATGTATGACTTAGCAAAATGTGACAAAAATATTGTGAAGAGATTTGGTGTTTTTGTTGCTGTACGCCTTCCAGGATGGGGTTGCCCTGACCCTTCCTGCGCTTGGCTAGGTGCGTTGCAAGAAATAGTGGCTGATCAATGTCAGTGCTGTTCGTGCTGTCAGTTTCTCTCTAGACTGTCTGACTGGGCGCTTGGAGGTGTTGGTATCTCAAAATGCTTGCGATAGGCCATCACAAGTCTCTCTTTTACCCACTCCTTTCTCTGATTTTCATGCCGAGGCTTTACATTTAATTAGGCAAACTTTGTGGTTGTACGGCAGTAAAGCATGAGTGTCAACAGTGATGTTGTCTCTGATGATGATGATGATGATGATGGTGTTGAGTGCCTTTGTTTATTGTTGGGGTTAAACGATCCTCAGGAGAACCTGATAAATACCCAGCTACGGGCAACACATGTTCAGCTGCCGCGAAGCTAAGTCGCACGATGTATCTGTTATGATTGTGTTCTATAAAATAGGTGGACATTCGGTCAGACACCCCTGTTAATAATTACGGTGGTTGAACAAGGAAGTCGGTCGAATATCTGTGTTTGTTGGCCCCGAAAACAGTGCATCCCGCAGAAAAGCGCCATAAGACCGTTGAGAGGTCGAAATTTTGTTTTTGGGAGTTTAATGTGGAATCATCAACAGGGCTGAAATGGATGCACTATGTTATGGTCTAGGGAGAAGATATCAAAGTTCATGGGGAATACGACAGAGAGAGTCTATCCTTTGTGGAATACCCCCTTCAGTTAGTCTACCTTCCCAGAAACAAGATAAATTCTGCTGTCTACTTGAAAGACTGTGCCAGTGAAAGTATACAAAGATTATAAGCGTGCAATAGCTGTGATTTTGAACAGTGGAGGAACGTACCACTCATTCTAGGTTTAAGCTTCATTGGTTTTATTGGAACCATTTTATGTGGTCATAAAACTAGTAAGATTAAAGTTACCTTAGATTTGTTACACCACGAACTGTTATATCGCCCCTAGCAAACACGACACCCGAGCTCATACCAAGAACTGAAATTCGATAAACCACTTTCCCTTGTACAAATTTCGATCTTTTCTGCCTTTTTGTATTTGAATATAGGTGGTTGATATGCACCAGCAATAAAGCACTATATTCAAGTAGCCATAAAGTCATTTTGGGACATCATGAGAAATGCAATAATCCGTCTCAGAGGTGTATAATCGAAAATCTGGTTGTAATTGTCAGGTCATCGTATCCATCGTACTCTCTAGAAGAACGAATATTTATGGCTGGGCGTTTTGCATGATAATTAGACATGAATTAGTTCAGAGCATTTCTGGAACGATCTAAGTTAGCTTGCTTTCTTTGTCTGCAAGATGAATTGTACCTTAGTATATTTAATGAGTGACAAGAACAGTACGAAGCAGGCAGTAGGGTGTATAATGCGGGTGGTCCCCAGACAGTATTCCCATTGTCTGTCTTTTAGTCACAAGTCCATCGATCGCAGCTATTCGAGTGTGATTTGTCACACGTGTAGTCTTGCAAAGGCTACGTCCCCCCTCGCTGTATTAGGCTTGGTTGAAATTGCAAGTTACCCATCCGCGCTCCGTCAGACGAAGAACGGATGTGATTGAACACGCCTTACAGCTTACCCGCCAACCAACTCTACTCACGCGGGCATACACCCATGAATGCTCTTGACAGAACCCCTTATAGTATGTGAACTTCACAATCAACTTACATGTCCTCAGATATTTGTGCCCGTCCAATTTACCTAACAAACAGGTAGCCTGAGAGGCACTTAAGTGCAACCATTCACGAGTTGTAAGAAAGCGTGGATTCGGACTTTCATAAATGTGTTTGCCTGATAAATTTCAGCGTACAGTGTTTTTCTTCACTATCCAGCCCTACGTATTTTGTCCGGTAAGCGCAGAGTGGCACCTATGATGAGGATGATTTTTGGGTTTCGGCTTCGTATCACCAAAACACGAATCATTTTACCCTCGCCCTAAAATGTCCCTGGAATGACGTGTTCGATTTTCTAGAAGTAGTTCGGTTCATGTCAGTTTCGTTTGTCTTATCATGCATGCACTGAATCAGGAATTGAGCCAATTTAGTAGTAGTGCTAACCGTGGAAATACGCGAACCATTTTAGAACAGACGGGTCACGTTGCCCACTTCTAACTGACCGAACGAATTTCAAGAGAGCTGTCAGAAAAAATGAAAGATCCAAACGTGCGCAAACATTTTCAGTGCACACATTTCTTGCCAGCAGTTAAGTAATTACGGTGAAAAGGCGTGTCACCAATTAGCCAAATGGGTACCCGTAATAATCAAATCACGGAAATTATCGATTGTCGTCTGGATTTTTCCTACACTTAATTGTAATTTGTCTTCCCGAAAATGGTTTCATTTCCTGCTACTAGGCTATCACGAAATATTACTGAACAGTTTCCCTCAAATTCCCTTCAGCAATTGGTTTGTTCCTTGGAGATTCATCCAGGAAGAAAATCCCTATATTCCAGTTGCTTATGAAAACTTTGCATCCTTGTGGTTTCTTCTAGTATGCAGCATGTGCTGGTTAACAATGTGCTAATGACAACTCACCTTGAACATGCCTTCGGCCTCGTCTCGTCCTACATGCCATGCTTCCTGCAGATTTCTATATTGCGTTTGTGTGATAAATCCACTATTGTCCACTTCCACGGCTTTGAACAGGGTCCACCCAAATTGATCAATTTCATGACGGTAATCTCCATTGATCATATCCCGAAGGTTGTGTATGAATTCTATCTCACGTATTTCTGGCAAGTGGGCTCCTGAAACGACATGCGAATAAAGGGTAAGGCTGGCATTGTGAAACGATAGGACCTTTTAAGTTAGCCATGTGCGGTTTTTCAAAATCCAGGGTTTAATTTTGTGTTGCAGTCACCAAACACACTCCCATGGACTGAGGGAGGATTACGTGACATTTGGCTGTTCGTATCTGGACAGCATCGACAGAAATGTTAGAGGGAAATTTGAACAACATATTTGTTTGACTGGTCAGGAATGCGTACCAAGACTCACTTTTTTGAGTTTTTTGCAGCATTTAAACTGGCTAAATTATGTTGCTGAATATTTACGGTCAAGCTGCGGGAGTTTCGCTTTTGGAAGCTCCTTTGTTTTAACACCTAGTCTAAAACTTATGGAGAAAGGTCCTTCATTTTCAGAAGTCTTTCATTTTGAAGCAGTTTATCGGAGTGGGTGCCATCTGTAAAATTAAGGACAATCAACCCCCGTCCCTGGTACGAATGCATTTGTACATTTCTGTATGTATAAAAATTTAATGCTGTCATTTCGATGGAACTTCACAAACGTGACAACATCAAAGCTTTTTAATTCTGGCTTGAATAATTTTCAAAGCAGTTATGAGGTATTTTGTTGCTACGAAAGTTTGTCTTTCACACGATTTAAACAGGGGTCTAACAGTTCCTTCGTTCCGACCGAATGTCCGCTCTATTATCGTTCGTTTTAAGGGCGTTCTACTCCTTCCTTTCATGATTCCCACACGTCATCCACACTTTTCTGAAACTTCAAGAGCAAACCGCAAACGTACGGCCTTCACTACTCGAATTTTACAACCAGAGCACAGCTTGTTCAAACTAAGCATATAAATCAAATACCAACTAACGAATTCAACAGTGAACGGCCGTGTCCTAAAAAATTCCCACCGGCGAAGTTTTTTTAATTTTCTTCTTGGGTTATTCATCTCTCGGTGTTCTGTGTTGAATGCCAAACGTGTGTGGATTTGATGGGGCACGTACCTCTGTTTGACAGCCGGTTCTTGTTTCTCCCCTCAATTCTGTGTTTCAACTGGGGTCTAATGAGTTCCCAGTCAAATGGCGTCACTTGGAACAAAAGTAATGGATATGTTTCTGCTCACGAAATTATTTAGCAGAGCATGCCACATTGATGTAGACTGCTCAAAATGATGTGCATTTTGTACTGAAGATATCCGAACGGCGACACAGTTTTCACACGGAGCTGAATTACTAGCCTTTCTATGCTTGGATTAAAGATAGCTTTCTTCTCGGCCGAATCATTCATGTCGGAAGTATCTTTAACTTCGGATATTTTCCTACAGTTAGCCCTATCTAATAATTGGAATTTGATCGTTCATACTTACCACCGACAGTAAAGAGAAAAATTCGGTGTTATCTGGAGTGACGGGTTGAGAATAACTCCACAATAAATACTCTGGTAAACATTTCCTCGCACTAGGAGAGGTAAATCATTGAACAACGTCTGTGAGAACAACGCACAGCATAACACGCCTAGATATATAGGTATGAAAAAAAGGAACCATGAGCCGGCTTAATTGTCTACAGGAGTGATCCATATTCACAAAATGTTGACATGAAATGCGTCACTATAATTTTTTGCAACAAAGTGACTGTTTTACACACGAAAATGATATTAGATAGGATAAAGCTAAGTTGTGAATACAGGACGTGAAAATAATGACTAGGGGGTGTACGAATACCTCTCGAGTTTGCCTCTTCCTTAGGATGAGAAATGCATCCGATGAACGAAATACCAACAGATAATGGAACGATCAGTTTTACCAATGTAATATCCCCTGCATTTGTCCACCTCCTGATTAGGTGGACTGTGCTGGTTCAGTGAACTCCGACTATTAGTATGTCGCTGCGGGATTCGTGGAAAATGAACTCGCATTACCATCGTTTTTGGATAGCCCTCCTGTTGTGATGTGAAATGTAAATTTAGTGAACCTTACTCAGATTAATTCATTTTTGAGTACGTACTGCTCAGCGGCATGTTGTGTCTTGTATTGCGTAGGGGATTCAAACCTTAGTTTAGATGACCTAAATTGCCCCTGAGTAAACGTTGAATTCGATATACAAAAGACATCCTACTATCCGCTGACTATGTAGCTGAGGCGTCTCTTCGGGAGACGGAAAGCTTTTCACTCCGTTTAAAAACGAACCAAAGCCGTAGTCAGTCCGTCTTCGGAGTTAATTTTGCACAAGCATTCTGTTGTACGTAGACAAAAATTGAATTGCGCTCTCTGTCTTTCGGCTTTGTGAAATAATTGCTTTCTGTCAGCTTTACGACTTAAAAGCGTTTTCCTGTTTGCTTGTTTAAATGGGAAGCTGGGAGGAGCCGTATAGCTAATACGGGCTTACTTAAAACAGTGCGAATCAACAAGAATCTCACCACTTCCATCTATGAGACTTCGTTTTCTTCTCCAATGGAATGGCAAAAATAATGAATCAGACAAAAGTGGCCTTTCTTGTGAATTCCTTTTTAAGTTCACAGCCACAGACGGAACCAACTGCAAATGTTCTGTCCAGAGGAATGTATCACTTGACATACTAATTAGGACCGTATACTTGCGCTTGGGTTGATTGATCATAATCAGATCCAACTTCCAGATTTACGTGTTGTTTTTACTGGTCGAAATAATTATTCATCCAGACACTTAATTGCCTCTTGAATGCTAGCCCAAAATTTTTTCATGTTTCTCTGATATTCACGAGATTGGATGCAAACTGGCATGAAATGCCACATCATAGTGCACCGAAGTGTAACTGGATAAGTTGTCCCAAATACCGGACGGTGTTGGGCGTCTTTCCCTGAATAAACGATAGCTAATATCACATGCTACACATGACATATCACAACTTATTGAAATTCTAAAAGTCAGACAACTAGTTTGTCTGGGACTGAAATTTTCATTAGATTGAGGTGAGAATCCGGACGCCTAGTTATGCATAGGATAAAAAAATATTGTTGTTTGGATAAATAGCACACCAGAAAGTGGTTTGGTTGGAAGGCCAACAGTTGTCGCTTCCTACGGTTAATTTCATTAACAGAAACCGAATAAAAAAGCTACTGTCCGCTAACTTTATGGCACACTTGAACCCAAATTTGGGTGTGATTCGCGAACTTAACTCGATTTCGTTTTAACGACAGACTCACCTGAATCCACGCTAAAACTCTCGTTTATGACATTATTGGAGTGTGTGCTGCACAAGACCTTCCTCGCTAGAACGCAAAACTGACAGAAACACAAGACTACGCCTACCAGAGGAACTCCACTAATGGTTGGTCGGAAGCTATCCAAGATAAATATTGTGTTCGGTCGGGAATATCGCCACAAATGAAACGTTAAGCCGTTCTGATGCAACGCATTTAGTTAATTTAAAACAGGCAGATTCAGCTGGATTCCGTTGACCCTGTCTTTAAAACTAAGGAGTACACTATACGAAGTTTTGGTTTAAAGAGAGAATTAAGTTGACGAAAACTCGGAGACCTCGCCTACCTGATGAGCCCTATGGAGGGTGAAACTGTTCGTGGACTACTGATAAGTTTTCAGAAACCATATAGGCAGTGCAAAATAAAGCTTTGTTTGAAAAAGATTTTTACGGTACTCCAAATGATACATCTTCTTGTTGTATCTGGCTTCAACTGAGGTTACATTTTTCCGTAAATACATGTGGTAACAGTTTATCCAACTTTTGAGTCCGATGAAGACAAAGCATCACTCTTAAATGGGTAGAACGCAGACCATGAAAGTAATCAATGTGACAGCGGCATGGAGGTGGAATGCCATACCACAGGGAGGAAATATTGAAAGTCTTTTGACTGTTTACGCATTGTATAGACAAGCTTGTTAAGTAGTACATACGGCAGTGTGGTGCGCAGTGTGATCAACGCAGGGTTGATCGGTGAAGCATATCAGCTGAACTTAGATCACGTCGGAAGGAGCGAGAGATTCAGGACATGCACAAGATGACTGCGTAGTTGAGTTATACTGGTGGCGCGTACGGACAAACACACCAGTTTAATCATATAGAACTAGTGTCTAATTTACGAAGCCCGTAAATTTGCTCCTGGACTTGCATTACTGATCCGTTGAGAAAGCAAAACATGATTGTTAATGGATGTTTTAACAGGAATTCTGAATAAATTGGTCTCGAAAAGTTGTCGATGGCCTGGATCACAGATGGCCCCTTCAAGGTACTGAAGTTCTAGGAGCTTTCTGGATATTTATACTTGACAGGTCTTTTTACAAAATGTTGGTTTTACCGGGCGGGACGAAACTAATTCTACTTACTAGGTTTCCACCCAACATGTTGTAGCGGAGGTGACTATCCATACCCGCTAATGTCTAGAATGGGATGGTTCTTGAAAACTCTTAATTTTCTGTTGCAAGCTATCAAATATAATCCCTGATTTGTAATGTATACCATTCTTGGAGGGAGGGGCATCCACCTCTTGACTTGGCCAATCGAGTGGAATCTATCAGCCGTGCAGCTCTACTTTTCGTGAGCCTCCTGGGGTCCTCTAGGTGTCAAGCCCACAAGACCTGGATCTCAGAAGGCCACTTATGAAGGCACTGTACAGGAAACAATTCACTAGGAATTTTGCCTCTATTGAAACTCACTAGTTAGATCATTTGCACGTTTTGTTTGCGGGTTTTCACCGTTGAAGGCGTCGTAACGCTGCCCCTAACCAGGTGTGCAGTAGTCAGCAGCCAGTTACAAGTTTCCATCATAAGTAGCGTTTTCAATTCTGAACCCAATTAAACTTGGTAATTACATATTAAACAGAGGATATGAAAAAGTAAGAAATAGACGACTGCTCCCCGGTGGTGAACTTCCCTGACAAGGTTCGCCCCTACTTTAAATGATATCTGCCATGCTAATCAGCTAGTCACCGTACAGCACTGTGGATAACGACTAAAGTTTATGACCTAAGGAATAAAAGCATGATCGACACTACCACATTCATGCAGTGATCTCATCCTAGC